ATTCTAAATACAGTGTAAAACTGCTTTGCTGGTATGCTTTGCTGGCTAAGCAATCTAGCGGGGCATCAAAAATATATTTAAAATGCTCTGCTGGTGTGTTCAGCTGGCTTAAAAATCTATCGGGGCATTCCTAAAGATAGTGTTTAAATGATCTTTTGGTATGTTCAGCTGGCTATGCAATCTAGCAGGGCATTCCAAAATATATTGTAAAAATGCTCTGCTAGTATGCTCAGCTGGCTAAACAATCTAGCGGGGCTTTCGAAAATATAGTGTAAAAATGCTCTGCTGAATTGCTCAGCTGGCCAGGAGTTCTAGCAGAGCAGTCCTAAATATAATGTTGAAAATGCTCAACTCACTGGGCAATCCAGCAGAGCGTTCTGAAATATAGTGTATATTTTTTTTGCTGGAATGCTGAGCTGGAATACTGAGGTGTCAGGGCAAATTAGCAGGGCATTCTTAAAAAAAGTATAAAATTGTTCTGCTGAAATGCCGAGCTGGCAGAAGGGCATTCTTAAATACAGAGTAAATGTTCTTCCTATTTTACTCCATATGCATCCTCTTGTAATCCTAATGCCTTTGAAAATGTTGTTTTTATTGCGAGATATATTTCACTGGTGCCTGCGGCTGTGACTGACATCCTCAAAGACTTCCAGGATTTTAGTACAAATTGATTAACCCTCATGTTATAGGAATTTCTAAATTAAGAGTAATTATACTTATTTGCTCATGTTATTAACACAGTCGAGTGGTTAATGTCGTTGACTTCAAACAATTTTCTTACCAATTGTGTGGTTGGGAAACGCAAAAAGGGTTTGGGTTTTTACAAACAAGAAAGGTTAAAATATTAAAATGAACGTCCGTGGTTTTATAAAAGGGGGGCGTTTTTCGTACCCGAGATAAAAGCACGGGAAGGGGCCCCCAGGGATTCCCCACCAAAAAAACTTAAGTCTTTATATGACTTTTAATACTTTTATATGGGGGAAACCCCCCCCCTTTTTATAAAACCTTTTATATTAAGGGTTCCCCTTATAACCGGGTATAAACCAAACCCCGGAAAGTTTTTTAAATTCAAAAATTTTTCTATTTTACTTTAATGGGTTAATTCTTCTTAACCCCGGGGCTAGGGGCGTGGGCCGGGAACTTCACTTTTTCCCGTACCTTCCCGAAAAGACTAATCAAAAACCCAGTCTTTCCAACATTTTTTAATTTTCCGTGTTTGGGGGTTTCTTTAGGGGTTCTGTATTTATCTATTTTATAGTGCTGGTGCGACGTTTAACCCATAAAAAACAGATATACGTGTATCTCAAACGTGAATGAGGATCAACAAAATAAAAAAAACTGTATAGCGTTTCCAAATCGTGTCACTGTCGATGTCGTGCGTTTTTAATTATCAAACTCATAAAAATAAAACTTCAAACTGTCAGTCCATGATTTAACAGCGATGTTATGATGTATTGATGTTTTAGTAATTATTATACATTTTCCTACATACATATAATAATTAGCATATTGACAGTCACAAGTAATTTCCATGATTAAATTCGTCGGCATTATGGTACTAAGGCTATTCGTCAGGTTTGAGCTAAACTGAGAACGTATTACAGACTATCATATGTATATTTGAATGTAATAAAACAGTAGCATATTGATTGTTACGGAGTTTTGCTATTATTAGTTGTATATGTAAACATCTCACATTAAAGTGTAATATGGAAGGTTTAATCCACATTTTTGACATGATCCTTATTTACAGTCCTGACCTGGAAGCTTTTGGCAAAAATTGAATCAGAAATAAACAACATCTTTTGAGTGCCGATGATATATGGGAAGCAACGGGCCTTTGTCAACAGAATTCACAGTGTGACAATTAAGACGACAGCAATAGTTTACGACGAGACTTTCTGTGACAATAAGAAGCACTGAAACGACTCTATACAAAAACGGTTTATGCAACAAATATACAAATTCTAATTCCTTTTCCTTACTGTATCTTAACTGAAGGGATACACTCACTACATAATCTGTATTTCTGTTGACTAACACAATCTGGAATTTAATTTTGCCGAATCAGCTAAAGGAAAAATAAAGTATTGGAAACATTGTAAATATGATTCTGATTTAATTCAATTCTCAAGAATTATGTTTTCAAGAGAGAACGGCGCTCTCAACATAATGTCTAATGTAACTAAAACTGTGTCAGTACCGTAATAATTATGTTTGAGAAAGATGAAATTAATATTTTCTCAACGAGTGTGGCCGTATCCGAAACATATTGGCTTTTTTGTCTACAAGATGAAGCCTATGTAGCTACTGCGACACATTTTCCTGATGTTTTTATTAAGACAATATCTTTTTTTAAACTCTATCTAAAATAATTTATTACACAAGATCTGAATTTAAGATTTAGCACAAATAGTTTTTATATATTGTTTTGATATTACATGACAAAGGAACGGACATTTCTTATGTACGTGACTTTTTATTCTCAACATTCATCTTTAAGGAATGTTTTCCTTTTAAATAATGTTTTATGCAATTTGACCTCGTGTTAATGTATAATGTTCACCTTAGATGTCATTCCTTGTGTCGGTAGACGTAAATTGTTTACAGGAAATTTAACAGAGCTCTCGTTTGAATCTAATAAATATAATTTAGAAATAATTAATATTAAACATGTCTTGCTGTTTACTAAAATTCAATGTGGTTTCATTTTACTTGAGCAGCAATGCAATATTTGTCGCATGATTCAGGCTAATATTTCCTGAATCATATTTAATTGTGCCATTAATTTCATATGATATTTTTTAAATTTAAATTTCAAGCAAACATCGTTCCTTGTCTGTTTTTTCGTCTGATGATAAAATAATAATAATAATCAAAACTCGAGATTTTTACTCTCGAAACCGCAATGTAATCATGACAAAAGTATCTCTCAATATTAATTTGTAAAATTGCAGATGTTAATTTTAAATGTTTAATTTCCCTGGTTTTGCCGGGAAATTAAATTATTTTGATGAATTTCCTTTCAAAATTCGACACAAGACTGTCTACCATTTCATAAACATTATGATATTCTGTATCAGCTATAGTTGTATGTAACTCATAGCACGTTACGGTAGTAATATGCTTAAACTATGTGCCTGAATACAGGCAACCATGTTTGTCGAAAGTCGTTGTACATTTATGCCTTCAAATTCAAATTGGTTAGGCTTAACGAAGTTTCCTCACGGTTTCGATTTCCTAATTATAGTCAAATCACCTCTCTTGAAAACAATTTACGTAGACCTTGGTGGACTTAGCCCAAAGCTCAACGATTCTCGTCTGGACATTCGAAAAATCACATTGTTTTTAATGAGAATATAAGATTTTTCTTAAACTGTGGGCGTTATGTTGCAGAACCACGTCCTAAAATACTTCCATAAAGGTGAATAATATGCAATGCAAAAACAATCATATATTTATAAACGTTTTGTAAAACTAGCCTTTTGCGGTTTTACACACCGCTAAGTCTTAATAAAGGTAATCAACTTTGCTTGTTTTTCTTTATTCTATGATAAACGTTTATTTCCAAGAAGATTTTATAACAAATAGACTATTTCCTAGAAGGTTTTCATCAAATCTACATGAAATAGATGGTGTTATAATAAGAAACTATTCTAGCTCCATGCTTTAAAATCAGTGACAACTTCCTAAAAGGTTTGATAATAAGAGACATTGTCTTTGAATAATCTTTTATCACACACCCGTGCCAATTTTGCGACTCCGTAAAAATGGTATTGCACGGCCATGCATATATTTTGACGTGACGTCATTAGCGTTATACAAGCATAGTGTAAAGACGCGCTAAATGTTAGCGTTATACTATAGGCACGTCAGTAAAATGACTCTTTTTTCACTTTAAACGGTCTTTATTTTGAGAATATTAAATTCGTGTAGCCAGAGGCTCGCATAATATAATTTTATTCAACTCGTGCAATAAATTCAGTATTGAACTTACACTCATTTAATATCCTCTTTATCTCGACATGTGTTTGTTATATCGCGGATGAGGTAAGTTTTCGCCTATTAATATAGTCTAAAGAAGAGTAACCAATATATAACATTTCTATAATGAACTCCACTTACTTCCCTTTAACTGTTCATACTGTTTCTTTTCTTTTTACAGACAATTTTCTTTTTCAAAAGTATTACATTTTTTCCTTAAGTCATATAAATGCTTTACTTGCGGCGTGACCGAGTGGATAACCCGGTGGAATAGTAATCTAAGGTTTGTTGGCCGCGTGGGTTTAAACCCTGTTGAGGCAAGTCGTTTTTGTTTTGTTTTTTTTCGTCGTTAGCAAAAATGAATCTTTACACTCATTGCTTGGTACTGGGTGGTTTCAGGAACGGATTCGAAAGTGGTTCAATAGACTTTAAGCTCCCTACACTATGGCGTTTTTTAATATTAAATCACTGTTTGATGTCCAAATCTCAGAGGTGTTTCATAAACTACATAGGATAATCTCTAAACACCCCCACCACCGCCCTGTATGCTCATTTACAATGAAGATGGATCGGTGGCTTAATGGTTAAGGTAACTGCCTGCTCTTAACATAAGAATCGTTGGTGTTTTGAGTACTACTTGGTTATCAACCCTTTTGTTTCCTCTGAGTCTGCCCATTAGGCTCATTAATGAGAGCATCGGATACTAAGACATGGGCCGCTGGTTCGAAATTTGCAAGGCGAAATTTCTATGAGAAATTGGTTTTAAAATTGGGCATACTTGTCATGTGTTTCTGGCCCCTACTTAAGAAATCATGCGAGATAAGTAGTCGCTTACCTACGAAGATATTGATATATCGCTACTGGCAAGTTAACCAGGAATGTCCGTTAGGTGGTACGTCTGACTGCCTAGATGAAAACCAACTGTGTTAATATCTGCGATAAAACTAAGCTTATGGATTAGTCAAGGTGCCAAAGTCTCAAACATAGAAGGAAAGAAATAAATAAGTAGAAAAAAAACTGATTCAGTTTCATTTATTTTGTTTTCATATTAATAAACAAAATATATTTGAAAAAGAATTAAGTACAGACAAACAAACGATAATTCTGTAAATTAAGGGATAAAAAACATTCACAAACGAAAACAGTTTATAACACATGTTCCGTGTCAGTTGATCAACGTAAAATATAAATATTATAAATAACTTAATATGCATATAAATACAAGACCTAGTGAAAATTTATGTTTGATATTTGTGTTAATTGTCATAGCATATGTTATTACACACTTGTACTTAACAAGATTTACTATTTTTAGAATAAAATTCCTCGCACGTGATCACATCACATCACGTGCGCGACGTTAACAAATGTATTAAATTGTCAAAATATACGCACTTATGAAATGGAAATTACCTCTTATGAGTGTATGACATAAACAAAAGAGAAACATTAACATTAGTACTTTTATCAGTTCGGTTTATGACCTTCAACATTTTGGCTAAAATACATGGTTTCCGGAAGTGAATTAGCGTATTTTCTTTTCATAAATTACTGAAATATTTTCATAAACATTTCAAATGATGCATAGAGTATCATCGTTTCCTGTTCATATTAAGTAAAACAAAAACTTAAAAGTTTGATAGGTTTCAAGTTACCTAGTCAAGTTTAAGCGATTATGAATGAAATCAAATCATATATGCATTGGCTCGTTTAGTTACAAGTGCATATAGTTTCACTTTCTATATGAAATGTTCACGGAAAAAGCACTTTTATTGCACATTTAGTTTAAAACAGTAGTACAATCCAAATATTTCATTCGTCAAAAATGAGGGTAACAGAAAGTGAAATAGTTTAAACTAAAAAAAAAATATTTTCGTTTTTCAAAATTTTGAGTAAGAAAAAAAATGTATCGAATTGCAATTTCGGTTCGATTTGGTGTTAGCCCTACATAACTGAGAAGGAAGGAACATAAAAGTGTGATTAGTCATACAAAATTCATCAAGAAAATTTAATTAAATACATTAAATCTTGATTAAAAATGTTTTGAAATTACATACTGACTGATATTTGTGTATTCCTACTATTCTCATCGTCGGAACCCCACGGGTACTGGTTTCGCTATAATGTATACATGTGTTACCGATTATGACTATTCTTAACTACCTGGGGACAAATTTAGTTTTATTATATGCACTATTTATTCCAATATATCAAATGATCCAAATACTAACATTTGATGAATTGTATTATAACAAATTAGAGACAAACAGAATATCATAAAAACGCGCGTGACTAATATAATGGTTCCTTCCCGCTACTTTGTACACACAAAAAAAAGCAAGTCAAGTATGAACGAACAAAAAATACAATATTGTCAGATATTGTATAAAATCAAACATGTTTGAAATACTTTAGAAAACAACAATAAAAATTAAAAATACAATTATTAAAGACGCTCCTAAAAAGGGAACGGTGGGAAATAATAAAAGAGATAAAACAATTCAAGTAAAAAAAATCATGAGCATTTGTAATAAGCTGTAAGGCAATGCCATTTGAAAATGATTCATGAAATATTCATAACTTTATTCATGAATGTGAATATAGATAAATATGTTTATCTTAATTAACAGTCTCTAATCAGTGTCGTAAAACGCTTTATTTTACTATTTTAATTTAAAGTTTTAAAAATCACTGTTCAATGAATAACATGTAAACAAACACTGTACAATCTCAATACAAACTTAATAAGACCTCAATACGATTTCATTACGATCTCAATACAAACTACATACGATCTTAATACAATTTCATAACGACCTCGATACAAAGTTAATACCACATCAATACAATTTCATTACGACCTCAATACAAAGTTAATACGACCTCTATACAATTTCATTACGACCTCAACACAAAGTTAGTACCACATCAATACAATTTCATTACGATCTCAAAACAAACTTAATACGACCTCTATACAATTTCAAGACGATCTCAATACAAATTAAATACGATCTTAATACAATTTCAATACAACCTCAATACAAACTAAATACAATCTCAATATAATCTCAATACAATTTCTACACAACAACAATGCGATCTCAATACAAACTCAATACGAAAGTTGGCCAGTCCAAACAAATGTTTATTTAATAATTTAACACTTCATGTATATTGAGATTTCTGAAAACGGTATCGATTTACAAAACTATTTTGTAAATTAGTCAACAACGTAATAGTACCCAAAATAGAATAATAAACAATTTTCAAAAGTCATAGATTAAAACTTTTTTGTTTATTATTTCAAAGGGCCGTGGACTATAGTGATTGCATATATTTAGACCCAAGAATCGTGTGTTCCAGCGTTACTATAAAGTACACAAATACTTGTTAGTTTCAAGGGTATTTCATTAAATCTTCACAGTCAAGCGTAATAATGATTAAAGTACTTTTCGATCAAGACAGAGTTAACATACATGATGATCGAAACGGTGGACTGGTGGTTAAAGTGTCTGTCTCTCAAACAAGGGATCATGGGTTCGAGTCCTACTCGGGATACCACCCTGTTTCTTCAGATGGAACCAGAACAGATTTGTTCAAGTTACTGGATTCAGATGCGATTTATATCCCTTCAAGAACTTGTTTCGAAATCGAAATTACACAAAACGTGTATTAGCATCAATACATGTAAAATCTTAAAAGTGGATAAAACAGAAAAATATATTTAGTTCAATACATTTTACTCTAATTTACAAAAACAAATGTTACATAGTAAGGCACAAAATAATGGTATAGTACATTATTGCTTAATGACATATATTTAGCACATATATGGAAGAATGAATAACGACCAGGGTAAGAATGATCCAAAATAGTTTACATGTTTATGCTGAAATGTAACTGAAATGTAGGTGAAATTCTTGAACACAAGCTTTACACATGTATCTTATGTAATCTAAAACTATACTATCTTTATCCATCCATTAATGGATGTAACATCACATTTAAAAACAAAACATCAGGAAAGAAAATACATCAAAAAACATTTTAAAATAGGAAATGATAATGGTCGGTAGTTTTCAGCTTAGTTAAACAAAATGTGAACAATATATGAATGTATATACATTTGTACATCATTACATGTAATAAAATCTAAAGTCCGGTAATGTCCAAACATCAATGGCGAAAAGTTTTTAAAAAATAGCTCTTCAGTTATTTAAGTGATCTATTTGAAAAAAGCTCTAGATCTGTTCTACAATTCCAGCTGTTTCCCTGCTCGGTTTACTCTTCCGGATAATTATGTAAAACTGGTCAGGTAAAAATTTTCGTTGAATTTTCTCGCAAAAACATTGTTTTTTCCCTTTTTTTCACATACTTTGTAACAGTAAGAACGTAACAAAACACAATGTTCCATGAAGTTTTTCTCAAATACTAGTAAAACAAATGTCAACAAAAAATGCTTCATATTTTGAAATTCGTGCTATAAAGCACAAAGGCAACTAAAGCTGCTATTAATGCACCACAAACAGGAAGGACAACTCTTGTCACATTGTTTTTATTTTCAATATTATCCCTTCTTCTCTCCCTTTTATCTTTCTTGGTTTCTTTGGCGGGTTTTCCTTTCAGCTGACGCATGATTAGGTTCACTGACAGACAGCTACCTGAAACTAGAACGAATGAAAGAGTTGATTGATAGAACATGTTGAATGAACAAACAACGCAAAGACACTACGTACGCCTTAAGCCAAGTTAAGGGCCGTATTCCTCTTTTCTAACCCATCCAACATACTTTCTTTCCCATTTTACTATAAGAGTATAAAACAAGAATTTGAAATATTATTGTTTTCTCTGTTCTAAATCAGTCTTTACCCCACTCACCCCTACACATACTTTAACCCCGTCCCCTCCCTGATGCAACATTGCTATCGCACGGTCAGCATTCAAGTTAAATTGATAGAAAATGTATTTTCAAAAACTGTATATGCACGCTAAAATAAGTTAAGCTTATTTTTGAATAAATAATAATATTTCAGAGAATCTATGGCTAGATATTATTCGGGTAGGCTTATAGTACAGCGCCCCTTTGATTAAATGCCTACATTTTGTCCCATTTTCTATAAAAAAAAAACAACAACTGAGATTTTCATAGAATTTTCAAAGAATGACTGTTATAGATGAATTAACATCACTGATCAATATTAATATGATGAAAGTGAAAAAGAAATAGATCTAGAAAATATGCGCAGAATACATTTTTTTACAGTTTTCTTTTATAAACGGTTAACTTATAGTAAAATCTAGTTTTATCTTCAACTGCTGATCTATCGAAGTCACTGATTTAGAAATTCCTCTCTATTATAAAGAGAAACTCTTTGTAAACACGAACCTATTCACTGCCACTTTTAAAATGTAAACACATCAACTGTCATGGTTTAACTTTTCTAACGTCGTAAGCCCATCCGCGATTAAATATTTGTTATTTTATGTTATATTACATGAAAAGACTTGTGTTAAAACATAATTTCCATGCATCATGCCTTGATAAATCAAATTTTGAGTCTATATTTACCTTTTCAGCGTCCACGTATGACGCGTGTAAATCGCAACGTTTCGGATAATTGGGCAAGAAGTGAATAGTTTCGTGTCTGTAAAAATGGCGGGAAATATGAACAATACTACCTTATTATTTCGGTGATATAATAATAACGCTTTTATGTTTAATTGAGTAATGTTTTAAATAAACAACTAAGACAAGATTAGAAAAGCTCTATATCTATTATTGAGCAAAATAAAATAACAAATAAAAGACTAATAATAGCTCTATATCTAGATCTACTATTGAGCAAAAATAAAATAACACTTCATTAACCTTTAAGCAGTTTCTCTTATCAAGTCAAAAGAAACATGATCGCGACAGATATATATGATAGTTGTGAGTGACTCAGTGTCGGAAATAGTAATACTTGAAGTGTTGAAATTCTGATTGTTTTACCCTCATCAATAGGGTAGTACCCATAATCCTGTACATTCAGCTTTATATATTCAAACACAGCTTGTTGTTTCAAACTTAATATCATAAAATCTTCATTTGATCAATAATTATGATATAAAACCATAAAAAATGTGTTACAGGATCTTTAACAGTCAAATTAAATTAATTTGTTTTGTTTTGTTTGATTTCAAATAAACAAAATCAATAAAAGAAAAAAACAATTGAAAGTGAAATTACACATATTTGTATTGTACAGAGAGATTCGTGAATTTTTGGTATTTTGATTACGACATATTGGAAGTAGAAACAATCAAGAAAGAGAAAGTAGCTTTCTGTCTACTTGAAACTATAATTGTTGATTAATGGCATGTCAAATGAGCCTGTTTTCAGGGTAAATTTATAAGTCGACCTGCTAGGATGACCACGGGAAAACGCGTTCTTCTGTTTTTCTTTTTCTTTATTTTTCGTTAGACAGGCCTATTTGGTTTCGTTCTATTTGTAAAAATTAATGTGATGTAAAATAACCTAACCAGTATCCGAAAATCGATGAGCCTTTATTGCATTCAGTTTCGTCACATCTTTTATAAATATATTCCTAAATCAATAAACGATAAAATATTTGCACGTAATTTTCAAGTCAACAAGGAAGCATTCAGTGGCGTAGATAGTAAGAAGAATTAAACAGATTAAAACAGCAAATAGTTGCGGTGCATTGGCCATCCACACCCCACCCTAGTCGAATTTCTATGAAACAAACCAGCCTTTAAATTTTATATAATTATAAGGAATAGATAAACTATACGCCTCTTTTGAATAGTTTAACTGTACGCCTCTTTTTATGATTTCAGCATTATCAATATACAGTGACCGTTACGGTAGAGGCAGTATAATTGTGTGGGGAGCAATCAACCATTGATTTAAATCAGTTTTAGCTGTGCTTTGCCAGGGAAATCTCCAAGCTAGACGATATATTGACCAAGCTTTAGTTCCCAGCCCGCATACCTCAATCAGTTACAGCGCGAGACTTGTAATCTCGACATTGTGGGCTCGATTCCCGAGCTGGCCAACTAAAATTACTAATCAGACTTCCGGATTAGACTTTAAATCGAGGTCCCGTGTATGGGTGCTTAAACACTTGGCAGGCTAAAGGCATCTTTCTGTATCATCCTCCAAAAATAAAATGACTAATACTCTTCTGGAGGACTCGCTCATATGGACAACCGGTGGCGAGTATAAATAAACACAAATACACACGCACCTTTGTCACTATTGATCCAACAACTTCAGGGACTTACATAGTCTTGTTTCCTCCCTACTATTCTGCGTAGTTACAAGAGCCGGTAATTCAGACTAGGACTTACACTGCAGCATACTTATGCAAGACATCACGTCGCACGCATCAGTCGCGATCTGCTGCAGCATAATGATATAAATGTTTTCCCTGGCCATCATGTATGCCGGATATCAACCCAATTTTATGAACGCGTTTAAGATTATATCGGTCAAACTCTATATAAATTCAGTCACAAACCATCCAGCAATTTGACAGCAGCTGTTCGCGGTGAGTTGAACAAGATTCCACGTTATCTTCTCAATCGGTGTTGGTCTATGAGAAGGATCTTGACTACTATTATAACTAGTGGTGAAGATCACATAAGATTCAGACTCGGAAACTGGAATATGATTGACTATCCCTGACGACACGACTGGTGCAGACTGAATATCGCGGTATATCGCGGGATATCACTACATTGTATCTGAAACTGATTGGCCTATAATATTGGTGTTAATTTATTCATTCATCTATTTATTTATTTATTTATATATAAACATTTTTTATTTATATTTTTATCTATTTTTATTTATTTTCTCTTTAATGAAATAAACTTTTGACAATGTAAGTCGAGTTCTAAGCATTTTCGATAGTAGATATGTATTTTACTTTGATATTGCATACAAACCAACTTGCGGATCAAACGAGAATGTAAGAGGATATGACACACCAAAACCGTTGCGAACGTTTTGAAGCAAACTTGAATATCGGAAGTAGTAAATTTTCTAACGAAATGTGCATAACGAAATGTGTACGAATATTCAGAGTAGTTTTCTATCTTATAATTAATTCATACAGTTGATATAAAAAAATACAAATGAAAAAAAAACTACGTCTCTTACAAAGAAATCAGAAACGTACTATACTGTTTCATTTCATGAAATAAGAGCCCCGTTAGATGAACAGCGAAGTGTTTCTAGAAAAGGTCCAGTATACACACATCCTACGCCCCATACTACTGTTGATATATAAATGTACGAGATATTACAGCATTACGGTTTCCGCTGGTCATTTCTTCTCAGAAAGTAAATCCCCCAAACGTGCTACATTTTGCAGAAGATAGAAATAGAATCAGAGCGCAGCAGATGGTGACTTTTGTATCAGCGTCATTAGCCTTTCTATTGAGATGTCAACTGTTAAAGGGACGTAATGGTCATTTACGTTAGGTTCTGAATGACCATGGTCAACGGGAGATAAGTCAGTTTGCTTCCACTTTCTTTCTAATTTGTTATTCTTGTGTGAATGTATATAACAAAATGTTCAATGTTGATTCTTTTGGTGATTTGTCTGAGATATACTTCCTAACGTATCCATTATGACAGATATATTATGTTAGCAATGAATAACATTTTTATAGTATTGATTTTGACACGTTATGGGGATGGATCATATGTATTATTTTTATGATGATGATGATGATGATGATGATGATGATGGTGGTGGTGATGATGATGATGATGATGATGATGATGATGATGATGGTGATGGCGATGATGATGATGATGGCGATGATGATGACGACGACGACGACGATGATGATGATGATGATGACGATGATGATGATGATGATGATGATGAATTTACACAACTAATCATGAGTGACCTCTGCCTAATAATAAAAGGTATGATAATAAATCAGATAAGAAAACACATATGTTACTTGCTCGACAATATTACCAAATAATTGCGTTCGCGAATTCATGTGACAAACTTTTGTCGTCTGCAATTTTTTTTTTTTTTTGGAAATATTGTTCATTTGTTGTTCTCACACAAAGGCATATGAGTTTGGCCTTGCCATAATAAAGTTGTTTCTATTACTTCGACAACTCCCTTTTCTGCACAAATGTAACGGAAATTTAGATGTGCACATTTTTGAAAGGAACGGCTGCAAGTTGTTGTGAAACAATAGTCACAGTGACGGCAATAATTCACCGATTATTATATGCCATGTCTTGGTAGAAAGCTAATACCCCCTGTGTTTAGAATATATGCCATTTATTGTAATCGAGATAAATGGCAGTCACAAAAATGTATGTTATAAATGTTTGCGTTTTCGTGTGTATTTCAACGTAAATTTAGATGCGAACAGTTTTGCAAATGGTTGTGAAACAATGATCGCTGTCGCAGAAATGGTTCGCCGAAAATTATATGCTGTGTCTGGTATAACAGCTAAGATCTCCTGCTTTAAGATTGACTGCAATTCATTGCAATCGGGCAAAAATCATTGTCACAAAAAGTGAGCTATTTCGTTGGTATTTTTTAGTCTGAGTAGAATAATTGTTTCGGCAAAAAAGCCAGTAATAGCCAAATATTAAATATGGCATTGAAATGTAAGTCCAGTGGGATCACTGAGAAAGTCGGTTTATCGTAAAGTTTGTGGCTTAATGCACACGTCACGTTGTACGAGACGTTGTCCGGAAGGGAATTTTGAGCTCTGCGCTGCTGACATGCGTTTTCAAACTACAGGGAACCGTTATGCACGAATGTTCTCTAACTCCAAGAATAGGTCGAGTTCTAAGCATTTTGGTAGTATATATGTATTTTACTTTGATATTGCATACAAACCAACTTGCGGATCAAACGAGAATGTAAGAGGGTATGACACACCAAAACCGTTGCAAACATTTTGAAGCAAACTTAAATATCGGAAGTAGTAAATTTCCTAACGAAATGTGCATAACGAAATGTGTACGAATATTCAGAGTAGTTTTCTATCTTATAATCAATTCATACAGTTGATATACAAAAACAAAAATGAAAAAAAAATGTAAAAAAAACAACTCCGTCTCTTATAGAGAAATTAGAAACGTACTATACTGTTTCATTTCATGAAATAAGAGCCCCGTTAGATGAACAGGGAAGTGTTTCTTGAAAAGGTCCAGTATACACACCCCCCTACGCCCATACTACTGTTGATATATAAATGTACGAGATATTACAGCATTACGGTTTTCGCTGGTCATTTCTTCTCAGAAAGTAAATCCCCCTAACGTGCTACATTTTGCAGCAGATAGAAATAGAATCAGACTGCAGCAGATGGTGACTTTTGTATCAGCGTCATTAGCCTTTTTATTGAGATGTCAACTGTTAAAGGGACGTAATGGTCATTTACGTTAGGCTCTGAATGACCATGGTCAACGGGAGATAAGTCAGTTTGCTTCCACTTTCTTTCTAATTTGTTATTCTTGTGTGAATGTATAAAAAAAATGTTCAATGTTGATTTTTTTGGTGATTTGTCTGAGATATACTTCCTAACGTATCCATTATGACAGATATATTATGTTAGCAATGAATAACATTTTCATAGTATTGATTTTGA